GCTCACAGACAGATTTGGGCTCATGGTTTGTTTCAAGCCACTGGTTCTGGCTGAATCCACAACACGCAGACGAGAAGCATCAGGAAAATCTATAACCAATTTCTAAACCTGCAATTTGCCAAGCTAATCAATACTAATTATTACTGGCCAGTAATTGTGAATTAAAACACCCAGCAGTGTTATAGAAACCTCCACACAACTCTTCCACCCTCCCACAGTGCTGTGCTCCTGAAGTCAACTTGCTTTCCAGCTGTATAAAAAGGCAACCCTTATTTTTCTTTAGAAGTGCTATCAGTGGCCTTTCATTAGGCCTGGCTGGAAAACCCCAAGCCTTCCTACCAAGAAACAGCACTACATTTTCCCTGAGAGTTAAACAGTGCAAACTAAATTGAAACACTCATGAAGGACAGAAAATCTGCAAAGAGAGTACCAAAATTTCCTCTATGACTCCGTCATTTGAGGGTTGAAAGACAGAGTGAAATCCCAGCTGTACAGTTTGCACTGGCAAATTCATGCCATGTAATCGGTGACAGGGTAGACCCTTTCTCCCCACAAGCTGCCCTTGGTTGTTCCTGCCCCCACAGCAGGCAGGCAGCTGAACACAGGGCTCATCTGCCTATGACCAGCAGACTGGACTGAAAAAATGTGGTGGTGAAAAGCATCCAGGTCTCCACCCTGAAATGCCCTGGCTCTCATTCAGCACCCACTGATAAATCAAACCATTACTACAGACATCCCTCCCTTCCCCAGTGTAGCTGCCCCCTTCCACAGTACCTCACTTGGGCACAGCAGAGCCTGACAGCTCTTGCCAGGATTTTCTCACTTTCCATAAAACCAGACATCCGTTTTTAGAGTACCCAAGTCACAGCAAACTAAAAAAATGAGTCAAACACATTAGGCAGGCAAACGGGGAGGTTAATCCTAGATTTGCTCTGTGCCCAGCACTGCTACATGCACAAGTATAAAATATCCATTATTCATTAGCATCACAGTTGTGTGGAGCTCAATCTAGATTAAACAAAATAAAGGGGCCCCAGACAGCACCATTTGCATTGTTAAGCAGGTGCTTTTCTTCAGCCTTCAAATAGGAGACTTCTCTAAATGGAAATGATGGGGAAATTTGGACAGATGTTCACTTAACTATTTAAACAGTTAGCTTAAGAAACATGAAAAATGTATTTGGCATCGTATTCACCTGTCTCCTTTCAGGGGTTTTGGGGGTAAACCAATTGTTAAACAGCTTTGACTGTTTGCATAAGATCTGAAGCTTATGTTCTGTCCAGCTGAAATCTTGTTGCCTTCTAATGTCTACATAAACGTAGCTTCCAGCTAGTCAGCGTGCTAATCTTTTTCTCTTCTATCAAGTTTCACAGTCCTCCATACCCTCCCTTTCCCAACAGATGAACATTTCACACTTATTCTAGCACTTCCTAATTTTAATCTGCTTTTCAGGGACTGATTTAGAGCCTTGTATATTCACCATGCTTCTAAAAATACACTGTAACTTGTAGCTCAGTGAACATTATTACTTTTTAATTTGTTGGAAGAAAACCACGAAATAAACACATACTTTTGCCTTTTTTGCTTGCTTGTAGAAAACCTACCACCTCTGATATCTACTGATCCAGAAGCTACTTGAGCTGAAACTTTCTGAGGTGGAGAGCTTAACATTATTGGAGGAGGGAAAGAAGAGAAGGAGCAGGAGGAAAATCTTTCACCCCAAGCCCCATCTGTGATTAAATTTAAGATAACCCCACATGAACAAGTTCATCTGCATTCTGTCCCCCAGACACCTTCATAACGTATGCAATACTCTCTTGCACATTCACAGACACAAAGTTGATGCACATTGGAAAAATCCATCAGAAGATGCTCAGCATCTACTTACCAGCTTGGAGCCATTGGCATAAAAGAAGCTGGAAATACAGAGAGTTTTCAGTTTGGAGTTGCTTTGCTTCTTCTAACCTCCCTACTTTTTCACTTTCCTTTGAAGTTAAAAGGCAACAATTTTTAAGTACAGATTTATTCTCCCTTATGTAACAGGAAGACCCAGCCAGCTTGTAAATAAGCATAGACTATGCAGATTTAAAATTTAGTACAATTAAACTTTTACCCTGTGTTAGTAATTATGTTTAATGGCTCTTACCCTGAACTTAACCGTGTCTATTGTTGTCAGCCAGTCTAAAAGCAGGAGTTTGTCCAAGGACAATTTTCTGTAGTTTATGGGCACACTAAAAACCCTGCTATGCTCTGTTCCTATTGGCCATTGATGTCAGTGTGTATAGTAAAAATTAAAGCTAATTGGCACACAGGAGCAGCCCTGAATGCAAATGAATCAATGGGAAAAAAAGGGAGCGCTCCTGGAAGCAGTAGGTAACTGTTGAAGGATGTTTTTTATGTAGTCTTATCTGGGCTAAAGAGCAGTCTTCAACAGCTCTGTGAATGCACCTGAAGTTAATTCAAACTATAGTAAAGTCACAACACCCCACAGGTTTTTTTGGGGAAAAAAAAAGAATGATAAATGGCCC